GATGACAAGGATCGGCAGACTAATCAACATGCGGCAATCAACCTGTTGTATGGTACGGCTATGACTCATTCATGTCGTCTTTGTTCAGACTTTACATGCTAGTGACCACCCGATCTCAGTATGTAATTCGTTAATGTGTTTGATATAGAAGTAAGATGTGCATTAAATTCAAGTTTACGTGTCGACGTTACCAATTGAGACTGGGCAATTTTATCTCACACGCCTCCAGAAGAGGGAAGTTTCCGTTACAAAGGCAACTATTTTTTGTATATGGTTAAAACAAATCGCAAGGGTAATGCCAAAGATTTAGTCAACAACATGCATCATTTGTTTTCTAGAAGAATTCGCCAGATTATTGGATGGGGTAACTGTTTAAAGCAGCACATTATGCTTTCCTTATTATTCGAGCCGATCGTACAGTCTTTAGTGAAATATTTATATGATGTTTTGACCGAAATACTATTTAAGAGAAATCTTGTATTCCGTTGATCTGTTAAACGACTTGTCGTAATTTTATTCCGAACTCTTCATCTGTTATACTCATCATCGAAACACCCTGTGACATTGACGTGGCTAGTATGATTCTTCATTTAGTTTGTAATTGACGTCAGTATATACGATGCTTAGGTGATTTTTACCTAAATAAACGGTTATTTGAAAAAACGTTCCGTTTTGACAAAAAGTTATAATTCAAAAAACTACAACTTCTAAAGTTTCTTAGTATTGGCATTGAACCTCAACCACATGTCTTTTGAAACAAAACATAAAGTAACTGAAAGGACATATTTAACATGAAGAGAAGGATAATTATGGAGAACGCAGAGACATTGATTCAATTTATCGGATGGCATGGTTCAGCTTTGCAGGAGTGATCATTCATGTTTGACTTGCTTCTTTTATTCATATTAAATATATTGTTCTATCCTCAGACAAAATGTGTTCTCCATCACATATTAGCTAACATCACGATAGGACGAGGCAGTTTAGACAACGACGTAACTTCCACGTATGATTCTTTGGATTAGGTGGTCACATCATCATAAATTTACAGTTTTAGGGTTACGTCTATTACTAGACCGGCACTAATAACGAGTTGGACAAGAATTGTACAGTTTCATGGTCCGGGTTGAACCTTACAATGAAATTTCGTTGTGATTTGTTGACAAAGGGAAAATGAATGACGATTTTATCGACCAGAAGGCAGACTATTCGTTAGATAATCGGAAATATAATTCAAAATGACTTAAAGGTGACAAAACGGTAATATCTGGTTGTGGTAAGTCAAACTTTTTTCACACTTGTAAATAAGTGGAAAGTCTTCTGCTAGTAGCCTTACACTTGAATTAATTGACAATTTTAAAGTCGCAAACATATTCAACCGTGTAATGCCTACTTATGTCTTTCTCCTATTCAGTGAAGCCACGATAGTGATGATTATAAATTGTTACGTGTGTTGCAAGAGAAGCGTAAATCAAAATGCGTTTATTGATAAACAACTCAAGGGAAATATTATCACTGTACTGAGTACACAAGAAATTCGTATTGCATGAATATGCTTTCGAATGCTTTTCTGGTATACTGCATATCACATGACACTTCTATGGAAAAAAAATTTGTGTTCTTAAGCTGATATGCAACATAACATTTGATTTGTAATCATATGTAAGTGCAAGATGGTTTGCAAGCGGACATAATATTACCACTTCCTGAGATAACAGGAATTCGCAAATTTAAATTTACAAGTTAGTATAGGGTTGAGCTTGAAATCTAAAAAATCACGCAATACCTAAGAAATTAAACTGCATTGGAAGTACTAACATCCAAAGTATATGAGTAAGTAATACTGCTTTTGAAATCGTCTGTCTTATATCAACACATGGATGTGAGAAGGGAATTAAATTCGTAAAATCAAACTGCACAAAGAAACAAGTGGAGATTGACGTTCATGTTTTAGATTAGTAAATTTTTTTCGGGAAAGAATATTCATATATATATTCCGTTGCTTTCTGTTTTTCTTGTCATAGTTATAAAAATGTGTTTTTCGTTGGTTTTTTTAAAAAAAAGAATATACTGAGGTCATATTTGGCGACTTTCCAAGATGTTGGTTTTAAAAAACTTTCAGAAAGACATCTCATTTCACTATTCGGCATCTAATCTTCTCAACTGCGTTAGTTCTCACATGACAAATCCGGGATAAATTGCTGATAAAGTGGCACTTTTTCTTTGCGCTGAGTCTACTTAAATTGCCATGCCTTCTCAATTAGAAGAGAGTTAACATCATAATGAAAATGTCTAACCTTTCTCTATTTTGTACGAAGTTCCAATCAATCTACCCGTGCAAACTATATTGCTACTTTCCTATAAAGTCAAATCCATATGACTCTTCTTCAGAAAACCTGACTTATTCATCTAAAAGAGGTATGGTTCATGACTGGGTCCTTATTTAAATCAAATGAATAACATCATTACCACTCACTCTACAACAACTCCATTTGTGTTTACAAATTTCTCAATCTGTACATTTATTTTTCTTGACTAAAATAAAATTCTTCCATAACTCATTTGGGAGAATCCGTTTCTTAACATAATATTTTTACACGATAATATTCTCTTTATTACTATCTCCTTCATCAAGGAGACTGAATTCTTCGACCATACACGTGATTTATTTTATTACTGCCATATTGCATATAACTTGATACTTTACACCAGATCATCCTGACATTTATAAAATACTAATTCGTTTTTACTGCTTAAACTTCTTTTGAATAAGCATGCAGCAACAGGTGCGAAATTCTACAGTTCCAACATTCGACACCGTTTAGCTCACCTGTGTGCCTTAATCTGAAATTTGTTGAATAACAAAATCAAATGCATCTAAAACTGTGAGCCTGATAATAAAGTCATTAAAAACAGTTTTTTACTCGACTATCCCTCTCTTTTGTTTGTCAGCTTACAAGTCTCTTGACTTACATTATTGACATCATTGAATTCAGTTAATGCATAAACCAAGGTCTCATATACATAGAATAATTGATTACTTTATATTTATGAATAAGAACTTAATAGTTTGATAAAAGTACACAAAATTCAAACGGAAAAATATACGACGCTATTGTTATTTCAACAGTTTTATAAGAAATCACAAAGCAAAGCTGACTACGGAAATTACTACAACCAGTATTGACATAACGATATCTAGAAGAAAAGAAAACAAATAACTGTGAATTAACATCCGTTTACTGATGTGAAAAAGAAAAAAAAACTATCAACCTTTGGCTTAAACGGAAGAAAAAAAGTGAACTAAATCAACAAACATGCAAATAAAACAACATTTTGACTTGCACTATAAGGTCGATGCATCCAATCAGATACAAATTATTAAACGCTAACCAACTTAAGTCTTTTAACAAACCGAACCTGATGATGATTCTGTCTAAAAGTGGTAAAGATAATCTAAATACAAATGCATTGAAAATCCACGGGTGTAAATTGAGAATAGTTTTTATTAGGACAGGTGTAAATTGTAGAAGAGCATATGCAAATAAAATAAAATATATCAAATTCTGAGGCAGTAAGCAATTGGCATAAGTATTTTGAAAGTTTCATCGGAAGTAGCTTTCTTTGTTCAGTCTTTTTATCAATAATAATTAATTGACCTAATGTTTGTATGCGTTACCACAAGAGTACCCGATTTGTCTTGTTTAGATATACCCATAAAAGTCTTATAAACTGAAGTTATCCCTACATCGTATCAACTATTCAGACTCAAATAGTTCACATATAGACAAAGTAAGATTTTATGTATCTTATTGTGTGCATAATATGCACTAAATACGCAGACTTCAGTATATGGGAAATCTCTCAATTTTGTGACAGACTAAAGCAACATAGGATGTGTACAAATGTACCTACACAATTTGTATGGCAATTTATACCTAAAAATTGATAATTACTTGGATAAATCAAAAACAGTGAATTATAAACTCACATGTATTGCCAGAACTTTTGAATAATGATGAATTCAGCGTATTTTACACTGCAAATAAGAGACGAGAGAAAAATACGTAGTGTGACAGATTCTTGGCGGAAAATTCCTACGAAAAGAATAATTTTCAATTACTGTGAACCTAAAGTTCAATATTTTACGCTTCATGACAAAAACTGCTTTTCATTGATTCAAACATATAGAGTGTTGACGTTGAATACAGACAAATAAACAAAAACGGAATTTCTGATCTCACTAAAATAGTCAACAGAAAATTCCGTCCGGCTGTTCTTATCAAAAATGTGGTAAACTCAATGTTCACTTGTGAAATATGAACCGAGCTATTTACGTGTAATACAAAATCACACATATCATAAAAAGAAATTAAAGTAAAAATCAAATTCAATTAGTATTGTTTGTTTGAATCTTCCCATCTTTGTGTAAGAATTGCAACTGGTCAGTCTCTAATTGGCATATGTGCATACTGCGCGTATTGCCTCGATATAGCCTAAATTCACAAGCATGGTAATCAATGATGGATAGTGGCTAGCAGATGAATCCAGGACGCGCGTTTCGTCCTGTTTGGGACTCGTCATCTGGATGTACCTGCATCTCAGAGTTGATGTTTGTTATGGGACTCAAACCCAGTACCCTCGCTTCAAACGCCATCGCGTTATCTACTCGGCCACTGAGTCCTGATAGCCACTTGCTAGTGCGATGGTGTGAAGTTTAAATTCACTTCACCCCACTCTGAGATGCAGGTACATCCACCTGACGAGTCCCAAATAGGACTAAACGCGCGTCCTGGATTCCACTGCTAGCCACTATCCATCTTTGCTTAAAGTAATGATCATTTTGAAGCACACAAAGAACAAATAAATGAAGAGTTTGACGACTTCGAAAAATTAAAGATCAATAATTGAAAGACAAATTTGAGGATTGAAAAAATTCTAAAAGAAAACAAGTAATCAAAGAGGAATATAAAAATTGAAAACAAAACACTAAACTTGTAATGAGAACGGTAAAGAAGGAAGAAATAAAGGAGGAAAACATTAATTCTAATGTAAGTTCACATTGTTCCACGTTAGAAAATGAACACAATTTGAAAACAAATTTAAATGAAACAATCAATAGGTAATAATAATAATAATAATATGTATTCTGAAAATAATATTTACAGAATTCACACCAGTTTACAGGTATGGTCAGATTGTTCTAAAAGTCAACATTTAATGTAGAGAACAAACATGAAATATAAGAGAATTTTATGTTTGCTAGTTTAGTAATTGATAAATAGTTTAAATATGACATATGTCACGGCAAGCCAATGCAACAACAGGGAACTTGTCATTTTTTTATTAAGTGGATAGCATGATGATTGACCAACATTATTCTGTAAGGTTATTTCCAGTGCCAGAGCGAGTTATTTTTAATTATCTACAACTAGAGAAAGTAAGATTAAAGCAAAGAGCACGGAACAACAAAACAATGATAGTAAGTAAGAGGTTAAACATTTAAAGTTCCTATAATCTCACTTGTGGAGTAAGATACACTTGCAGGCGCTAGAGCATTGAATGCATTTTCAGAGGAGCAAAAAGCAATAATTGAGCGAACAAACAATGGGAGAGAGATTAACATACGGATAGATTGGGGTAAATTATTCCAGAGACTAGAAAACTCACAGGTAATAATACATAATGAAAATATCATCATGAAAAATTATATACATTGTACACGACAATATTTTGAAAAAGTGAAACAAAAGCCTATAAAGTGATAGAGTAAAAAAACTGAGAAAATCAGAAGTGAATGTATCTGAAAATCATTTAAACGAATGGAAAAATTAGAAAACATAAGAAAAATAAGATATTACACAAATGAAGATGAGAAAAACAAACGGACTGAAATAGAGAAAAAAAGGGGAATAAACGTATAAAAAAAGAGAGAAGTGAATAATGATAAAAAAAAGAAATTAAACAATATGAGAAACTAAGTAAGAAACATAATTCTATAAGAAAAGAAGTAGAGAGTAAAATTTAAAAAATCAAATCTAAAAGAGGGGGAAAATGATAAGGAAAAACAATCATGGTTAAACATAAGACATGCAAAACAGATTGCCACATGTGACGAAATTATTGAACAGAACTAACTGCAGTGGTGTTGGTGGTAATGCTTCGAAAGAACATTGAATGAATGTTGGTGAAATGTGAATGGAGTTGTGTGAGAGTAATATCTGTGTAGACGTTGTTGGCATTAATGTTATTCTATGGAAATAAGTGAGTGCGTTGTACTGAAAGTGTTTACGTAGTTTGAGATAGCTTTCAGTTGTCATTGTGATTGGACAAAAACGAACTTCGAAATTGACGCATGTCACAACGGATCAACATGTTTATCACTTATGAAAATCATCTTATCACAAAAGAACACTACTCACCCGAATCGACTGGAATTTCCTGAGAAGTCTGAGACGGTACTTGTGATGCTGTATAACAGAAATAAATTGATGAAATCGTTGTGAGGATAGAGGTGAGTGAATGGTGAGAATATGATTGTTTCGCGAATGTGTTCTTTCCTATACTCATGATGAATACGAAATCGGAAGTCAGGTTAATTTATGTGGATGCGATTTTATGATGTAGGATTGAATATGATGGTGATGAGGTGAAACTTGATGTTGGTATTGATGTTGATGATGTTGTAGTTGATGATGATGATGATGATGATGATGATGATGATGATGCGTATGACGATGTTGATGATGTGAATGTTGATGAGGATGTTGATGAGAATGTTGAGTTGGAGGGTGGATGCGGCTGCATGGACGACGACGACGACTACTTTGACGATATTGATGATGACGTTGTTGAATGGATTGTGAGTGAGATGTGAAGTTGTTTGCAGCACCAGTTTGTTCAGCTCAAATGATACATTGTGAACGACGGAGACTGATGAAATTTCAACAAACTGGACTGCTTCATCAGTATGAATAATACCAGCATGAAACTCTTCATCTATTCAACACAACTATTTCTCATGCAATCGCTTCCCCCTATAAGTCTCAATGGAACTGGAAACAACATGGATGAAGAATATAATGAATTCATTATATTTCGTTGTGTTTCATCATCTGCTCACATGTATTTGTTCCGAAGAACATCTGAGCTATTGGCAGTTGATTAGCTCGACTAAGCACAATCGATTGAACCGAGAAGGCATGAACATGAATATCTGTGAGACAAGTGGATTATCTGTATACAATGCAAACATATGAGTAATATGATGAGGAATGTCAGTGTTGGTTACACTTGAGATGTGCAAACCAGATTCCCACATGTGACGACATTATTGAAGAGAACTAACTGCAGTGGTGTTGGTGGTAACGTTTCGAAAGAACATTGAATGAATGTTGTTGAAATGTGAATGGAGTTGTGTGAGTGTAATATCTGTGTAGACGTTGTTGGCATTAATGTTATTCTATGGAAACAAGCGAGTGCGTTGTACTGAAAATGTTTACGTAGTTTGAGATAGCTTTCAGTTGTCATTGTGATTGGACAAAAACGAACTTCGAAATTGACGCATGTCACAACGGATCAACATGTTTAGCGCTTATGAAGATCATCGTGTCACAAATGAACACTACTCACCCGAATCGACTGGAATTTCCTGAGAAGTCTGAGACGGTACTTGTGATGCTGTATAACAGAAATAAATTGAAGAAATCGTTGTGAGGATGGAGGTGAGTGAATGGCACATATATGCCTGTTACGCGAATGTGTTCTTTCCTATACTCATGATGAATACGAAATCGGAAGTCAGGTTAATTTATGTGGATGCGACTATATGATGTAGGATTGAATATGATGGTGATGAGGTGGAACTTGATGTTGGTATTCATGTTGGTGATGTTGTAGTTGATGATGATGATGATGATGATGATGATGCGTATGACGATGTTGATGATGTGAATGTTGATGAGGATGTTGATGAGAATGTTGAGTTGGAGGGTGGATGCGGCTGCATGGACGACGACGACGACTACTTTGACGATGTTGATGATGACGTTGTTGAATGGATTGTGAGTGAGATGTGAAGTTGTTTGCAGCACCAGTTTGTTCAGCTCAAATGATACATTGTGAACGACGGAGACTGATGAAATTTCAACAAACTGGACTGCTTCATCAGTATGAATAATACCAGCATGAAACTCATCATCTATTCAACACAACTATTTCTCATGCAATCGCTTCCACCTATAAGTCTCAATGGAACTGGAAACAACATGGATGAAGAATATATTGAATTCATTATATTTCGTTGTGTTTCATCATCTGCTCACATGTATTTGTTCCGAAGAACATCTGAGCTATTGGCAGTTGATTAGCTCGACTAAGCACAATCGATTGAACCGAGAAGGCATGAACATGAATATCTGTGAGACAAGTGGATTATCTGTATACAATGCAAACATATGAGTAATATGATGAGGAATGTCAGTGTTGGTTACACTTGAGATGTGCAAACCAGATTCTCACATGTGACGACATTATTGAAGAGAACTAACTGCAGTGGTGTTGGTGGTAATGTTTCGAAAGAACATTGAATGAATGTTGTTGAAATGGGAATGGAGTTGTGTGAGTGTAATATCTGTGTAGACGTTGTTGGCATTAATGTTATTCTATGGAAACAAGCGAGTGCGTTGTACTGAAAATGTTTACGTAGTTTGAGATAGCTTTCAGTTGTCATTGTGATTGGACAAAAACGAACTTCGAAATTGACGCATGTCACAACGGATCAACATGTTTAGCGCTTATGAAGATCATCGTGTCACAAATGAACACTACTCACCCGTATCGACTGGAATTTCCTGAGAAGTCTGAGACTGTACTTGTGATGCTGTTTAACAGAAATAAATTGAAGAAATCGTTGTGAGGATAGAGGAGAGTGAATGGTGAGAATATGATTGTTTCGCGAATGTGTTCTTTGCTATACTCATGATGAATACGAAATCGGAAGTCAGGTTAATTTATGTGGATGCGATTTTATGATGTAGGATTGAATATGATGGTGATGAGGTGGAACTTCATGGTGGCATTGATGTTGATGATGTTGTCATTGATGATGATGATGATTATGATGATGCGTATGACGATGTTGATGATGTGAATGTTGATGAGTATGTTGATGAGAATGTTGAGTTGGAGGGTGGATGCGGTTGCATGGACGACGACGACGACTACTTTGACGATATTGATAATGACGTTGTTGAATGGATTGTGAGTGAGATGTGAAGTTGTTTGCAGCACCAGTTTGTTCAGCTCAAATGATACATTGTGAACGACGGAGACTGATGAAATTTCAACAAACTGGACTGCTTCATCAGTATGAATAATACCAGCATGAAACTCTTCATCTATTCAACACATCTATTTCTCATGCAATCGCTTCCACCTATAAGTCTCAATGGAACTGGAAACAACATGGATGAAGAATATAATGAATTCATTATATTTCGTTGTGTTTCATCATCTGCTCACATGTATTTGTTCCGAAGAACATCTGAGCTATTGGCAGTTGATTAGCTCGACTAAGCACAATCGATTGAACCGAGAAGGCATGAACATGAATATCTGTGAGACAAGTGGATTATCTGTATACAATGCAAACATATGAGTAATATGATGAGGAATGTCAGTGTTGGTTACACTTGAGATGTGCAAACCAGATTCTCACATGTGACGACATTATTGAAGAGAACTAACTGCAGTGGTGTTGGTGGTAATGTTTCGAAAGAACATTGAATGAATGTTGTTGAAATGGGAATGGAGTTGTGTGAGTGTAATATCTGTGTAGACGTTGTTGGCATTAATGTTATTCTATGGAAACAAGCGAGTGCGTTGTACTGAAAATGTTTACGTAGTTTGAGATAGCTTTCAGTTGTCATTGTGATTGGACAAAAACGAACTTCGAAATTGACGCATGTCACAACGGATCAACATGTTTAGCGCTTATGAAGATCATCGTGTCACAAATGAACACTACTCACCCGTATCGACTGGAATTTCCTGAGAAGTCTGAGACTGTACTTGTGATGCTGTATAACAGAAATAAATTGAAGAAATCGTTGTGAGGATGGAGGTGAGTGAATGGTGAGAATATGCTTGTTTCGCGAATGTGTTCTTTCCTATACTCATGATGAATACGAAATCGGAAGTCAGGTTAATTTATGTGGATGCGACTTTATGATGTAGGATTGAATATGATGGTGATGAGGTGGAACTTGATGGTGGCATTGATGTTGATGATGTTGTCATTGATGATGATGATGATGATGATGATGATGCTTATGACTATGTTGATGATGTGAATGTTGATGAGGATGTTGATGAGAATGTTGAGTTGGAGGGTGGATGCGGCTGCATGGACGACGACGACGACGAAGTCGTCGACTACTTTGACGATGTTGATGATGACGTTGTTGAATGGATTGTGAGTGAGATGTGAAGTTGTTTGCAGCACCAGTTTGTTCAGCTCAAATGATACATTGTGAACGACGGAGACTGATGAAATTTCAACAAACTGGACTGCTTCATCAGTATGAATAATACCAGCATGAAACTCTTCATCTATTCAACACAACTATTTCTCATGCAATCGCTTCCACCTATAAGTCTCAATGGAACTGGAAACAACATGGATGAAGAATATATTGAATTCATTATATTTCGTTGTGTTTCATCATCTGCTCACATGTATTTGTTCCGAAGAACATCTGAGCTATTGGCAGTTGATTAGCTCGACTAAGCACAATCGATTGAACCGAGAAGGCATGAACATGAATATCTGTGAGACAAGTGGATTATCTGTATACAATGCAAACATATGAGTAATATGATGAGGAATGTCAGTGTTGGTTACACTTGAGATGCGCAAACCAGATTCTCACATGTGACGACATTATTGAAGAGAACTAACTGCAGTGGTGTTGGTGGTAATGTTTCGAAAGAACATTGAATGAATGTTGTTGAAATGGGAATGGAGTTGTGTGAGTGTAATATCTGTGTAGACGTTGTTGGCATTAATGTTATTCTATGGAAACAAGCGAGTGCGTTGTACTGAAAATGTTTACGTAGTTTGAGATAGCTTTCAGTTGTCATTGTGATTGGACAAAAACGAACTTCGAAATTGACGCATGTCACAACGGATCAACATGTTTAGCGCTTATGAAGATCATCGTGTCACAAATGAACACTACTCACCCGTATCGACTGGAATTTCCTGAGAAGTCTGAGACTGTATTTGTGATGCTGTATAACAGAAATAAATTGAAGAAATCGTTGTGAGGATAGAGGTGAGTGAATGGTGAGAATATGATTGTTTCGCGAATGTGTTCTTTGCTATACTCATGATGAATACGAAATCGGAAGTCAGGTTAATTTATGTGGATGCGATTTTATGATGTAGGATTGAATATGATGGTGATGAGGTGGAACTTCATGGTGGCATTGATGTTGATGATGATGATGATGATGATGATGATGATGATGCGTATGACGATGTTGATGATGTGAATGTTGATGAGTATGTTGATGATAATGTTGAATTGGAGGGTAGATCTTACGGAATCGTCGAAGATGGCGATGACGACGACGACGACTACTTTGACAATATTGATGATGACGTTGTTGAATGGATTGTGAGTGAGATGTGAAGTTGTTTGCAGCACCAGTTTGTTCAGCTCAAATGATACATTGTGAACGACGGAGACTGATGAAATTTCAACAAACTGGACTGCTTCATCAGTATGAAAAATACCAGCATGAAACTCATCATCTATTCAACACAACTATTTCTCATGCAATCGCTTCCACCTATAAGTCTCAATGGAACTGGAAACAACATGGATGAAGAATATAATGAATTCATTATATTTCGTTGTGTTTCATCATCTGCTCACATGTATTTGTTCCGAAGAACATCTGAGCTATTGGCAGTTGATTAGCTCGACTAAGCACAATCGATTGAACCGAGAAGGCATGAACATGAATATCTGTGAGACAAGTGGATTATCTGTATACAATGCAAACATATGAGTAATATGATGAGGAATGTCAGTGTTGGTTACACTTGAGATGTGCAAGCCAGATTCCCACATGTGACGACATTATTGCAGAGAACTAACTGCAGTGGTGTTGGTGGTAACGTTTCGAAAGAACATTGAATGAATGTTGGTGAAATGTGAATGGAGTTGTGTGAGTGTATTATCTGTGTGGACGTTGTTGGCATTAATGTTATTCTATGGAAACAAGCGAGTGCGTTGTACTGAAAGTGTTTACGTAGTTTGAGATAGCTTTCAGTTGTCATTGTGATTGGACGAAAATGAACTTCGAAATTGACGCATGTCACATTGGATCAACATGTTTATCACTTATGAAAATCATCGTATCACAAATGAACACTACTCACCCGAATCGACTGGAATTTCCTGAGAAGTCTGAGACGGTTCATGTGATGCTGTATAACAGAAATAAATTGAAGAAATCGTTGTGAGGATAGAGGTGAGTGAATGGTGAGAATATGCTTGTTTCGCGAATGTGTTCTTTCCTATACTCATGATGAATACGAAATCGGAAGTCAGGTTAATTTATGTGGATGCGACTTTATGATGTAGGATTGAATATGATGGTGATGAGGTGGAACTTGATGTTGGTATTGATGTTGATGATGATGATGATGATGATGATGATGATGCGTATGACGATGTTGATGATGTGAATGTTGATGAGTATGTTGATGATAATGTTGAGTTGGAGGGTAGATCTTACGGAATCGTCGAAGATGGCGATGACGACGACGACGACTACTTTGACAATATTGATGATGACGTTGTTGAATGGATTGTGAGTGAGATGTGAAGTTGTTTGCAGCACCAGTTTGTTCAGCTCAAATGATACATTGTGAACGACGGAGACTGATGAAATTTCAACAAACTGGACTGCTTCATCAGTATGAAAAATACCAGCATGAAACTCATCATCTATTCAACACAACTATTTCTCATGCAATCGCTTCCACCTATAAGTCTCAATGGAACTGGAAACAACATGGATGAAGAATATAATGAATTCATTATATTTCGTTGTGTTTCATCATCTGCTCACATGTATTTGTTCCGAAGAACATCTGAGCTATTGGCAGTTGATTAGCTCGACTAAGCACAATCGATTGAACCGAGAAGGCATGAACATGAATATCTGTGAGACAAGTGGATTATCTGTATACAATGCAAACATATGAGTAATATGATGAGGAATGTCAGTGTTGGTTACACTTGAGATGTGCAAACCAGATTCCCACATGTGACGACATTATTGAAGAGAACTAACTGCAGTGGTGTTGGTGGTAACGTTTCGAAAGAACATTGAATGAATGTTGTTGAAATGTGAATGGAGTTGTGTGCGTGTAATATCTGTGTAGACGTTGTTGGCATTAATGTTATTCTATGGAAACAAGCGAGTGCGTTGTACTGAAAGTGTTTACGTAGTTTGAGATAGCTTTCAGTTGTCATTGTGATTGGACGAAAATGAACTTCGAAATTGACGCATGTCACAACGGATCAACATGTTTATCACTTATGAAAATCATCGTGTAACAAATGATCACTACTCACCCGAATCGACTGGAATTTCCTGAGAAGTCTGAGACGGTACTTGTGATGCTGTATAACAGAAATAAATTGAAGAAATCGTTGTGAGGATAGAGGTGAGTGAATGGTGAGAATATGCTTGTTTCGCGAATGTGTTCTTTCCTATACTCATGATGAATACGAAATCGGAAGTCAGGTTAATTTATGTGGATGCGACTTTATGATGTAGGATTGAATATGATGGTGATGAGGTGGAACTTGATGGTGGCATTGATGTTGATGATGTTGTCATTGATGATGATGATGATGATGATGATGCTTATGACTATGTTGATGATGTGAATGTTGATGAGGATGTTGATGAGAATGTTGAGTTGGAGGGTGGATGCGGCTGCATGGACGACGACGACGACGAAGTCGTCGACTACTTTGACGATGTTGATGATGACGTTGTTGAATGGATTGTGAGTGAGATGTGAAGTTGTTTGCAGCACCAGTTTGTTCAGCTCAAATGATACATTGTGAACGACGGAGACTGATGAAATTTCAACAAACTGGACTGCTTCATCAGTATGAATAATACCAGCATGAAACTCTTCATCTATTCAACACAACTATTTCTCATGCAATCGCTTCCCCCTATAAGTCTCAATGGAACTGGAAACAACATGGATGAAGAATATAATGAATTCATTATATTTCGTTGTGTTTCATCATCTGCTCACATGTATTTGTTCCGAAGAACATCTGAGCTATTGGCAGTTGATTAGCTCGACTAAGCACAATCGATTGAACCGAGAAGGCATGAACATGAATATCTGTGAGACAAGTGGATTATCTGTATACAATGCAAACATATGAGTAATATGATGAGGAATGTCAGTGTTGGTTACACTTGAGATGTGCAAACCAGATTCCCACATGTGACGACATTATTGAAGAGAACTAACTGCAGTGGTGTTGGTGGTAATGTTTCGAAAGAACATTGAATGAATGTTGGTGAAATGTGAATGGAGTTGTGTGCGTGTATTATCTGTGTGGACGTTGTTGGCATTAATGTTATTCTATGGAAACAAGCGAGTGCGTTGTACTGAAAGTGTTTACGTAGTTTGAGATAGCTTTCAGTTGTCATTGTGATTGGACGAAAATGAACTTCGAAATTGACGCATGTCACAATGGATCAACATGTTTATCACTTATGAAAATCATCGTATCACAAATGAACACTACTCACCCGAATCGACTGGAATTTCCTGAGAAGTCTGAGACGGTACTTGTGATGCTGTATAACAGAAATAAATTGAAGAAATCGTTGTGAGGATGGAGGTGAGTGAATGGTGAGAATATGCTTGTTTCGCGAATGTGTTCTTTCCTATACTCATGATGAATACGAAATCGGTAGTCAGGTTAATTTATGTGGATGCGACTTTATGATGTAGGAATGAATATGATGGTGATGAGGTGGAACTTGATGTTGGTATTGAAGTTGATGATGATGATGATGATGCGTATGACGTTGTTGATGATGTGAATGTTGATGAGGATGTTGATGAGAATGTTGAGTTGGAGGGTGGATGCGGCTGCATGGACGACGACGACGACTACTTTGACGATGTTGATGATGACGTTGTTGAATGGATTGTGAGTGAGATGTGAAGTTGTTTGCAGCACCAGTTTGTTCAGCTCAAATGATACATTGTGAACGACGGAGACTGATGAAATTTCAACAAACTGGACTGCTTCATCAGTATGAAAAATACCGGCATGAAACTCATCATCTATTCAACACAACTATTGCTCATGCAATCGCTTCCCCCTATAAGTCTCAATGGAACTGGAAACAACATGGATGAAGAATATAATGAATTCATTATATTTCGTTGTGTTTCATCATCTGCTCACATGTATTTGTTCCGAAGAACATCTGAGCTATTGGCAGTTGATTAGCTCGACTAAGCACAATCGATTGAACCGAGAAGGCATGAACATGAATATCTGTGAGACAAGTGGATTATCTGTATACAATGCAAACATATGAGTAATATGATGAGGAATGTCAGTGTTGGTTACACTTGAGATGTGCAAACCAGATTCCCACATGTGACGACATTATTGAAGAGAACTAACTGCAGTGGTGTTGGTGGTAACGTTTCGAAAGAACATTGAATGAATGTTGGTGAAATGTGAATGGAGTTGTGTGAGAGTAATATCTGTGTAGACGTTGTTGGCATTAATGTTATTCTATGGAAACAAGCGAGTGCGTTGTACTGAAAGTGTTTACGTAGTTTGAGATAGCTTTCAGTTGTCATTGTGATTGGACGAAAATGAACTTCGAAATTGACGCATGTCACAACGGATCAACATGTTTATCACTTATGAAAATCATCGTGTCACAAATGAACACTACTCACCCGAATCGACTGGAATTTCCTGAGAAGTCTGAGACGGTACTTGTGATGCTGTATAACAGAAATAAATTGAAGAAATCGTTGTGAGGATGGAGGTGAGTGAATGGTGAGAATATGCTTGTTTCGCGAATGTGTTCTTTCCTATACTCATGATGAATACGAAATCGGAAGTCAGGTTAATTTATGTGGATGCGACTTTATGATGTAGGATTGAATATGATGGTGATGAGGTGGAACTTGATGGTGGCATTGATGTTGATGATGTTGTCATTGATGATGATGATGATGCTTATGACTATGTTGATGATGTGAATGTTGATGAGGATGTTGATGAGAATGTTGAGTTGGAGGGTGGATGCGGCTGCATGGACGACGACGACGACTACTTTGACGATGTTGATGATGACGTTGTTGAATGGATTGTGAGTGAGATGTGAAGTTGTTTGCAGCACCAGTTTGTTCAGCTCAAATGATACATTGTGAACGACGGAGACTAATGAAATTTCAACAAACTGGACTGCTTCATCAGTATGAAAAATAGCAGCATGAAACTCATCATCTATTCAACACAACTATTTCTCATGCAATCGCTTCCACCTATAAGTCTCAATGGAACTGGAAACAACATGGATGAAGAATATAATGAATTCATTATATTTCGTTGTGTTTCATCATCTGCTCACATGTATTTGTTCCGAAGAACATCTGAGCTATTGGCAGTTGATTAGCTCGACTAAGCACAATCGATTGAACCGAGAAGGCATGAACATGAATATCTGTGAGACAAGTGGATTATCTGTATACAATGCAAACATATGAGTAATATGATGAGGAATGTCAGTGTTGGTTACACTTGAGATGTGCAAACCAGATTCTCACATGTGACGACATTATTGAAGAGAACTAACTGCAGTGGTGTTGGTGGTAACGGTTCGAAAGAACATTGAATGAATGTTGGTGAAATGTGAATGGAGTTGTGTGAGTGTAATATCTGTGTAGACGTTGTTGGCATTAATGTTATTCTATGGAAACAAGCGAGTGCGTTGTACTGAAAGTGTTTACGTAGTTTGAGATAGCTTTCAGTTGTCATTGTGATTGGACGAAAATGAACTTCGAAATTGACGCATGTCACAACGGATCAACATGTTTATCACTTATGAAAATCATCGTATCACAAATGAACACTACTCACCCGAATCGACTGGAATTTCCTGAGAAGTCTGAGACGGTACTTGTGATGCTGTATAACAGAAATAAATTGAAGAAATCGTTGTGAGTATAGAGGTGAGTGAATGGTGAGAATATGCTTGTTTCGCGAATGTGTTCTTTCCTATACTCAGGATGAATGCGGAATCGGAAGTCAGGTTAATTTATGTGGATGCGACTTTATGATGTAGGATTGAATATGATGGTGATGAGGTGGAACTTGATGGTGGCATTGATGTTGATGATGTTGTCATTGATGATGATGATGATGATGATGATGATGATGATGATTATGATGATGCTTATGACTATGTTGATGATGTGAATGTTGATGAGGATGTTGATGTTAATGTTGAATTTCAGGGTAGATCTTTCGGAATCGTCGAAGATCGCGACGACGACGACGACGACTACTTTGACGATATTGATAATGACGTTGTTGAATGGATTGTGAGTGAGATGTGAAGTTGTTTGCAGCACCAGTTTGTTCAGCTCAAATGATACATTGTGAACGACGGAGACTGATGAAATTTCAACAAACTGGACTGCTTCATCAGTATGAAAAATACCGGCATGAAACTCATCATCTATTCAACACAACTATTTCTCATGCAATCGCTTCCACCTATAAGTCTCAATGGAACTGGAAACAACATGGATGAAGAATATAATGAATTCATTATATTTCGTTGTGTTTCATCATCTGCTCACATGTATTTGTTCCGAAGAACATCTGAGCTATTGGCAGTTGATTAGCTCGACTAAGCACAATCGATTGAACCGAGAAGGCATGAACATGAATATCTGTGAGACAAGTGGATTATCTGTATACAATGCAAACATATGAGTAATATGATGAGGAATGTCAGTGTTGGTTACACTTGAGATGTGCAAACCAGATTCCCACATGTGACGACATTATTGAAGAGAACTAACTGCAGTGGTGTTGGTGGTAACGTTTCGAAAGAACATTGAATGAATGTTGGTGAAATGTGAATGGAGTTGTGTGCGTGTAATATCTGTGTGGACGTTGTTGGCATTAATGTTATTCTATGGAAACAAGCGAGTGCGTTGTACTGAAAGTGTTTACGTAGTTTGAGATAGCTTTCAGTTGTCATTGTGATTGGACGAAAATGAACTTCGAAATTGACGCATGTCACAACGGATCAACATGTTTATCACTTATGAAAATCATCGTGTCACAAATGAACACTACTCACCCGAATCGACTGGAATTTCCTGAGAAGTCTGAGACGGTACTTGTGATGCTGTATAACAGAAATAAATTGAAGAAATCGTTGTGAGGATGGAGGTGAGTGAATGGTGATTATATGCCTTCTACGCCAAGATGTTCTTTCTTATGCTGTATATGAATTCGTTGCAAGTTTTTCGTTGCTTTGTATCATCGAATGCATTTGAATTTCATTGTATGTGGTTCCCTTATGTGATGCCTTAATTGTAGTTAGTCTTCCTAATCCGTTCTATATGACAAGTTAGTTATTTCTGGAGAAATTTTTGAATGATTTTTTAACCTGGACTATGCTATACTTACTATAATATTTTGACCTCATCAATAGAAGCGATACTGCGCTTTCAACCTTTTTGAACTTCTAAATATTTTTCTTTGACTGCACTCATTCAATTATTGACCATTTGAAGTATAAGCTAAATTCAGCAAAGCTACTTTTAATATTTTAGAGGCAAGAAGAGAAGATCAAACAGCGATAAGAAAAGCAAATCGACGTATTTAAGTTCCAACCAAATCTAAATACACCGACAACAATGGCTCATATGAAAATAAACTTATGACTATGAAGAATAATGACAACGAATATATTAAATGTATGAAGAATATATCAATAAGG